CGGCGGACCAAGAGACCAAAGGACCAGGGGACCAGGGGACCAGGGGACCAGAGGACCAGGGGACCAGAGGACCAGGGGACCAGAGCACCAGGGGCTCAGAACAGGGTCTACGGGACCAAAGGACCACGGGACCAAGGGGGCCAGCCCTAACCCCAGAGCCCAAGCCGAGCCAACCCTAGGAAAAAAAAACCTGGGACCCACCCTCAACCTTAGACCCTCAACACTGTACCCCTAAACCCTGAACACCTAAACCCTGAACCCGATATTACCCCTACAGTATGACCCTTTTAACAACTTTTCGAGGCGCCTTCATCAAGCGAAGAGCCGCCTCTTTCACGTCGGAGACCATGGCTTGATGTAGTGCAACAGCCTCAGCTTGGCCACATGGTGCAGTGCTTTGCGGTTTTAGGGTTCCAGGGGTTTTAGAGTTTAGGGTTTTAGAGTCCCAGGGTTTTGGAGTTTAGAGTTTGAGGGTTCGAGGGCTTTTCGTAGAGTTTAGGGTTTTAGGGTTTCAGGATTGTAGGGGAACGAGGGACTTCTGGAGATTACAGAGGGATCATGGGGGTCCCAGGCAATGGTTCATGAAAGAGGGAATGAAGTTGAAGTAGGGTTATAGACCCCCCTAAGTAGAAAGAATATGGCTTTGGGTATCTTATGATAAGATCCCCATATACGCCATATTCTATCTACTTAAGGGTGGACTATATACCAATAGAGGGTCTATCGGAGTTCTATCGGGTTTAGGAAGCACGGGTTGGTATAGGGTTTGGGGTGCAGGCTTGGACTGGGCTTATGGTGTATTCGCTACATGAGGATTATAAGGGAACCATATTGGTAATTGGAATGCTTCAGCCAATGGAAACTAGTGCAGAGTCTAGGTTTAGGGAGGTTCATATTGAGGCATGGCTGCAAGGGAGGGTATACATAGGATAGCTGTAGTCATGATCTAGTTTAAAGGACTGGCAACCCCACTCCTTTGCCATCAGGCAAGAGACGGTCCATGCAATCCTTATGTACTTCTGCCAAGACTCCAGCCGTTCTGCGACCATTACGAGGATCTTACTTTAGACGACTACAGGGATCCATTGCTTGGTCAACATGGAAAACTTTGCATTGAAAAGCCAATGAAGTGTACTTACTACACGTTGAAAGCTTGTTGCCCGGAGTTTTGAACTTCAGTGGCCTTTTTTTTGGGGAGTCCACCTTAACCCTAAACCTGAGACTCTCTACGACAAGGATTATCGCATATTGGGTCCATATTGAGTGCCCTTGCTTCATGGAACGCCCCAGCAGCCCCGGACGCACTCCATTATTCACTTAACATGGGGGTTGCCCAACAGTAGGGGTCATAGGGATACGTTGGGATAATGGAAAAGAAAATGGAAGCTAGTACTTAGGGTTTAGGTTTTCCCAAAACTAGGAATACCGTCATATTGGGGTTCCCATAGTTTAGGAATGTAGCATGTGGGGGTCTATTTTGGGATCCCCTTATTCTGCAAAACTACCATGTCTCGATGCTTCTTGCTGGAATTCATGTGCTCGGCCAAGGCACAGCAGGGTATCCTTACAAACATACATATCACAAACCCTAATCCTTAAACCCTTTTCAGGACCTGCCGTTTCAGCATGTGCCAGTTTTTGCTTGTCCGAGTTGGGAGGTCACGGTACAATAGAGATGGACTGGGCTTCGGGGTTTAGGAAGTTCAAGATAAGATGTGCAGTGGCTTCTGCATGGTGAATATGCACTGGCTTCCAAAGCGCCAGGCTGCAAAGTACAGCGTCATAACAGAGTAGCCCACCTTTTGTGCTTTAGGACCATGACATAGAACCCAGAAGTGGGTAAAAGAACGGCCCCAAACCCATTCAACAACGGTAAAAAGCCAACTGTTGTGGTCACTTTGGGGTTCAGGTAGCAGATGAAAGGATTCTTCAGTGAGGGAAACATGCCATTCCGGCAAAGCGCAGGACGCCAATGCAAGTGCCGCTGCCATCTTGGCGGAAGGCGCTACAACAGCTCAACCGCGCTCATGGACGTTACTTGACACTTAGGGTTTAGGCTCTTAAAAGAAGTCTTCTTCTTCTTAACCTTTACCCTAAACCCTCTTGTTAGCAGAAGAAAATGCAAGTCCATGGGCTCTGCAACCGAAGAGCTCGCATGGCCAGCCTACTGGTTGAAGCCTGCAGGTAGTGCTCATACGCGCTCTCCATGCACCGCGTCCACTCCTGTGCCACCCGTGAAGCTGTTTCGGGTTATAGAGGGTATTATATAGGGGATTATATATGGGAGTCCTATGGGGGGTTATATGGGGATTATATAGGGGCTATACAGGGATTTTATAAGGTTTTTATAGTGTAAGCATGCTGCAGGAGTCTTGGCCGCAAACACTTCTAGCGCCATTTGTGACGTATGCACACAAGCCCCACCTTGGAGCTGAAAGGACTTGCACAAAGATGAGATGGACACTAGGGGCATAGAGGGATACATATATATATATATATATGGAGACATATATTCATATACACATGTCCATATGTACACATCAACAACCCCTGTATGGTTCCATGGTGGGTTCTGCGGGGGGTAGCACATAGACATAAGAAAGACAATGGAGACTTTACACCCTCATCTCAACGAGGCAGCCGCATCTCGTATGCGCCAGCAGCATGTTTCCAGCTTCTATCCTCTCTTTGAACAGCGCTTCTTCTCTGCGCTGCTGTATGAGCACTTAGCACGCGGCCTGCTTGAAGTCGCTTACAACCTCATAGCAATGGATACAGGGAGGGGGCGGTGGTATAAATTCTTGCTGGGCGTGATGCATTCCGATAGTAGCTCAGTGCTGCCTGCTACTTGCACCAGTCCGCGGCTGTGAAGAAAGCAACAACGTGGTGCCAGTCACCATCCACAGCTCTTAAATCCAGAGGTGTGGACGCAGCCTCGTAATCGCGCAAGTGGAAGGACAAGTCTCCAGCAAGACGCATCTGTCCCTCGACCTAAGTTCTACAGGTTGTGAGACAGGGCTCAGGTCTTTAGGGTGGATCCAGTAGATGCGATCTCAAGGGAATGTATTACAAACATCTTAGGGTTGGGATGGTATGATACCTTATTGCTACAGGCTGCCGACTAATGCCGAGTTCTGCTATTGCAGGCTGTTTTCAAGCTGGGAGCAGGGCAGAGTGTAGTGGGTAACTAGCCGCATCCTGACGTGGGCTTCTACCCATGCCAAGATACAATGCTTTACTCCTTGCTGGCTGTTAGTGGGGAATGCACGAAGGAAGGGAACATGGAAACTACTGTATTCTACTATGTCAGTGGAAATTTCATAGGGACTACTATAGGGGTCCATTCGTCCATTCCCTAGTAACAACCAGTAAGAGCATGCATGTAGGAGCGGGCCTCCACCACATCACCTCGCAAATCAAAGGGCAATATGAGAGCTTCCCTAACATAGGAGTACCTTTTCTAACTTTTTGGGGTCCCCATGAAAGGAATGTAATATCTTCAGGTGTATATCGGCGTACCCTAAGTTTGGGAAACTACCATATGACACTGGCTCACATGGTCATGGTGTGCTACAGACATAACGGCAGCGCACTCTCCCGGGCATTTCTGCTGATTTAGGCTCTTTATGTTGACGTCTTACTGCACTGTTTCTGTGCAGCAGTGCTGAGTGTGAAGTTCACAACCAGCAACGTCGGGGCCTAAAACAGGAAGCTACGTGACCGGTCTACAGGCTACAGGAAAAACAGTCTCAGCTGCTGTCAGATGTAGACGACCTGCAGTCAAGCATCCGAAGCGTTTGATTTGTGACCTAGAGTTTCCCAAAGTTCGGGGTAGTGGCGATATTGGGACAATGGAAAATCAAATGGAAGCTACTGTTCAGGATCTACGGTTATCGGTTTCCCGAAATTAGGTGTGCCTTTTTGGGGCTAATATTTGGGGGGTTCTATACTGGGGCCCCTTTTTTATGGAAGCTTCCATGTTGCAATATGAGACCTGCCGAAGTCTGGGGCGAATACAGTCGGAGCAGGCACTTCCTTGGCATGCCAAAGGTAGCAATCCCTTGCACCAACACCCCAGGCCCCCTAAAAGATCCAACAATGGAACCCCCACAATATGATCCCACTACTACACGGGGAAACCTAAGGGATCATAGGGAGGTTCCTTTTGTGGGATCCTCTGGGGGTTTGGGACATGGTAGGCCCCTAGAATATCCCACAGGCCTGATCACTAATCCCCATACCTCCCTGCATGCCCCTATATCACCCCCGTATACCCCTTTTGAAGGGACCCTAGTTTTGCCCTCTTCCCCGCATGCGAATGGAGGCTTCTGAGAAGCAGGCGGGAGGTGGGGCTCCGATGACCTGAGAAAACCAACTTTGAGCGGGTTTGGGATTTAGGGTTTGGGATTGCGGTTTTAGGGTCGAGGGTTTGGGGTTTGGAGTCCCGGGTTTAGGGCAAAACTTTGAGGGATTAGCATTACTACCGGTTACTAATATTCACAAGTTTGTGTTCACAACTTTGAGTATTACCAGCTGCTAATCGTAGTATTTTGGTTGTTCTGATTTTTTAGCCTCACTAGCAATACTCTCCTATGATGGCTCGAAAAACAGTTCCCACATCAGGCACATGATGAACTCTCTTTGCTACGTGTGGTAATTCCCCAAAAGAAGGAGGTCCCAATATAGACCCCAATATACTTTAATCCTTTTCATGGGAACCCCTAAACCCTAAACCCTAAACCCCCCCAAAAAAACAAAAAACCCTGGAAGCTAAGCAGTGGACTCTATGACTTGGCCCAGCTCCATCTTGAGATGCTGGCTGCAGGGCGGGTGCAAACCCGATGCGCCTTGCAGCTTGCAAGTCTCTGTGTGTTGTAGACAGAGACTATACAGGGCTACCTATCTATCTGTATATATATATGTATATAGAGATAGATGACTTATACCTACATCTATATATATATATATGTATACATATACATATCTATGTACATATCTGTCTGTATATATGTATATATACATATGTGCTGACAATATAGGATCATGCACGGATTTGGGAGGGTTTTCCAGGATAATGCCCTTAGTGCAGTTGGCCAAGAGTTCGCTTGTGTCCCAGTTGGCATGCCGCACCTTTTTTTCTCTGAAGGCAATCTGCGGATCAGCAGGGCGACTCGTAGACTTTTGACATAGTCTCAATCCAACCTTCGTGTTGCCATCGTCTGTGTCTTCATGAGAGCAAGGCGCCCGTATGCTCTGCGTGTCTTTCGCCGGATCTATTTAGCTGAGCATTAGGCTCCTACATCCCAAGCATTCTGGTCCCGCAGCTGTTCTCTTGGCTTCGTCCTGCTGATGCATATTGCATCATGTTGCCATCGTGAGAATGTCTGCATTTGCACGCCTTCCATTCGCTAAAACGTCTGCAAGAGCGTCACGTTGTCCAAGTCAACGCTGTGTCCAATCTTGTCTAGCAACTCCTGCTGACCCTGAAAGGGCGTGGAATGCACAATGGGAAGCATCAGGTGAAGGAGGATACTAGCACCCAGTTAAGGGAGCCCCAACTTCGGCTTGTGCAAGGCATGCTTGCAAGCTGAACAAATGATCCCAACACAACCTGCAACTGTTCGTTCGGAACTTCACTGGCCTGTTTTGCCTTGATGAAGAGCAAGACATCGAGTTCGCAGCGCTGCAGTGCCACAAGCAACGGGATCAGTGGAGGTCCGTCAGACTCCATATGCACCTAACAGATTTCAAAGGTCAAATCGCGACATGTGGAAACGTCTGGGAGCACCTTCATGCGAACGCGCTGCAGCTTTGGAAGCCTGGGCCGCTGTGTCAATGAGCCAAGTGGGCACACATGGTAGTTTCCCAAAACAGAGGGACCTCAATATAGACACAAAAATACTATAGTACGGGTAACCCTAATCCCACACCCTACATAATAGTTTCCATGTTCTTTTCCATTATTCCTATAATACCTCAATATAATTCCAATATATACCCCAATACTACCCCTAAACCCCAACCGTAAACCCTAGTTTAGGCAAACTTGGGAACCCCAAATCCATTCTCAGCTTCTCAGCTTAGTAACTTTGCTCGCAGAACTGCTGCGAACATTTCAGCCCCGTTGGCTGGCCATGATGGCTCCTTCACTGGTTGGTGCCGGTTTCTCATATAATCGAACTCGGGGCTAGTAGGGAAAAAGGGCACCTCTCTCCCTCTCTGTATATATATATATATATAGTTTAAAGTTTGTAGGGAATAAGGGAGTCTATTCTGTAGGTACTGTATTCACTTCTTCCCTACTACCCACCAGTAAGTAATTGCTTAGCATGAATTCGCGGACTACCTCGTAATGTCCAGGTCCAAGGATGAGCTTGATCTCGTTGATGGTTTCTATGGCTGGGAAGCTCGAGGCAAACAGGGATAAGCTCATTCCAACCTTGCGCGGCAGGTATTTCTGGTGCCGCGATGGAACGCTGCATCTGTCCAGCAAACGATCCATACGCCTTGCGAGAGTAGTAGAAAATCTCATCCATCACAACGATCGTGCCTATCCTGTGCTGTGCATGGAGCATCTGATTTCATTTGTGCAATGCTTGAACGCTTCTTGCTGTGTTTGTCCTTTTGACTGTTGATGGCAGCATGGAGAACCTGAGCACACTTTCTCATGATGCCAGCACTGCCAAACTCAATGTTAGCATATAGAATATAATAGTAGTTTCCATTTTCTTTTCCATTATCCCTATATAAACCCAATAAATCCCAATGATATACCCTAATATTAGTGGGTATGTGCGGCGTTCAAAACCGCTGCGAGGGACCCCTGCGCGGCTGGCAGCACATAGCAAATGTCCAGTTCTGCGCACGTGGAGGGAAGCGCCGCCAAGACAGGACGCAAGGTTGCCGGCGTTGGCCTGCCATTCTCGATAACCCTTGTCTCTTTCGATTCCAACGCGCCATACCTGTAACCCCGCTTACCTGTAGCTTTCACGGTTATATCTACCAAGTACTGTAAGGGATAAACTTACAACTAAACTGTAGGGTTACAGGGAGACCCTTGTAGACTGCGTCATCTCAGGACGCATAAGCCAGTCCTGTCAATGGCGAAGTCCTTAATCTGTAGCATTTGAAGAGGCATGCTGCGAAGAAGAGAAGCGAATGCTGTGACATCTTCCTCCTGTGCTCTGAGGAATGTATGCCCGCCCTGCAGTTTTTCAACCTCTGTCCTCCAAGGACTCCAGGCGCAGGTGCTCGATCTTTTCAAGCTTCGCCCCGAGAGCTCTCAACTCTGATAGCTCTGATACACCTGCGGCTCCTCGACTCGACAAGTATTCGTGATATGAAGCCGACAAGGTTGGCGCTCCAGAACAATGCTGAACCGTCCTCTGATTGTGAATTCCGGGACACCAAGAACACGACATGGGCAAAGCTGTGCCAGATGATGCGTCCACAGATCCTGAGCAATAGAAGCTGCTTAAAGCGTGGCATGACCACTGAACTCACCAAACAATGAGGGATCCTCTCAGCATTTGTGCAGCGACTCATTCAAAGAGCTAGCAGCAAGAGCAGGAGCAGCAGCAGCTGCAGCAGGAGGAGGAACAAGAACAATGACGACGACAACAACTGATCCTCTCCTCCTCCACCTCATCTGCTCCTCCTTCTTCTTACATCTTCTTACTATACTACTGCTGCTGCTGCTGCTGCTGCTGCTGCGCCCCCTTCCTCGAAAATCCTGACGGGGTTGGGTTCTGCTCTAGCCGTCTTTTTTGCAAGCAAGCAAGATTGGGAGCGCTGTCGAAAAAGCCCCGGAAAGGATGCGGTCCACGAAGAGGATGCGGCAACGCAAGGCATCCCGAGAAGTATGTCGGAGACGGAGAGAGAGGCGGAGACTGAGATCGGTCGACGCTTGAGAATTGCGTGGATGTGCTTGTAGAAATCGAGCGCAACGCGGCTGTTGGGTTTCTGGACATTGCGCTGCGAGTTCCTGCCTGGGCTTGTTTTTCGGTTGTGATTGTGGTGGAGGTGGAGGAGGATCCGGTGGTTGTGGTGGTCGTGGCGGTGGCGGTGGCGGTGGCGGTGGTGGTGGTGGTCATCGTATCAGCCGGTGGAACAGGCAGGGTTCATGAGAACCTTGCAAAAAAGGGATACGATGTATAGCCTCAATTATCTTTCCGATGCTTGAATGTACTGGCTTGCACTCGAATAAAGCTGTCGACAGGAGGGGCTTTACCGCTACTGCAAGTTACTTTCATGCCCAAAAACGCCCGCACCGACAGCCAGCAATACCGTTGCTGCTGGCATGCTTCTACCATACATATGTGTATCTAATGTATATTGATTTATCATCTATTCGTTTCGCACGCTTGATTTTTACTTGCCCCTCAAACGGCGTAATGCAATTGCTGGAC